TGGTTTCCACCAATTGCGTAGCTTCGTCATGTCGCATTGAAAACATCAGCTCGCCATCTGTGCCCTGCTTGAGTACACTGATACCAATGAACTCGTCTGTGGCCAAGGTCTGCAGCTGCGCAAACACCACGTTCGTCTCTGTGGCGCTCCGGAGGTCTGAGCTTTTCAGTCCAACCGGTCCCACCAGACACATACCCCTGATGTATGGGCCAAATGGTATGGTAAGTGTTTGTAATTATTGTGGGTTGTTCATAGAGATCGTTTCTTGCATAGAACTCTTATTATATGAGACTAGGATCCGATTCAACCCTAAACCCTAAACTCAACCTAAACCCCTAAAACCCTAAAGCATTGTGTAATCGGATTGCTGTGAGAGAGGTATCACTGGGCAGAGAAACCGGGTACGCATTCGGTCAAACTAAAACACGACACATAAACGAACACACCTAAAACCATAACAACCTTACACACCACATTATAGGTATTATCTCCTGAGCCCACCCCCCCCCCCCCCTCCGGGCGACGACGGAGGCACCTGATACACTCAAGGGTAACAGGGTTTATACTACCACACGCTATATCACAGCCCCTAACAATAGTCCCATGGGCATGGCATTCGTCTACACACACATACGTTTCCGGGTCCATCATAGTCGAGCGTACGTGGGTTATACCCGCCTCTACCACCTGTCCCCCAGGAGTGACATGCACACCCTTCTCCACAACCATCCACCCGACGCGCTCGCCCAGGCTGCGGCTCTGGTCCAGATTAGAGGGCTCCTTACACCTGAGCATGAAGGACCCCACGCGCACTTCTTTGACCTGTGCACGGGTGGGTGGTATGTACGGGTTAGTGAGTTAAAACCTTAGCCTAAACCCAACCGTATACATTGAAACTCTATCCCTGTATACCGGCGCAAGGAACTCCCGCCCGTACATCTTAACTGTTGGAGCTTGGGGTGTATGTATGTAAGTGTTATACCGGCGCAAGGAACTCCCGCCCGTACATCTTAACTGTTGGAGCTTGGGGTGTATGTATGTAAGTGTCAGTGATGTCAAACCTATCCGACCTGGATTCCTCTCAGAGATCAGATGGGATGGATCCCTGACGATGACATGACAAGGAGATAAGATACCTCATAGCCCGTACGTAGCTATAATCCCATACTAAAGGCTTCACGTACGGGTATAGCCCTACTAAAGGGTCAGTGATGGCAAAAGTATCAGACCTTCGCTTCCCCAAGGCTCTAAACAGAGGCATAGCCATACATATCTTGCTTATTCATATTGGGTAACGCTATGCCTTACCTAAAACTACAAATCCCTACACCCTACAAAAGAAAAATTGCATTACAAAATCCAACGTCAACAAAACTGAGTGCTCTCGCGACATTCGATACTTCTGACAGCGCATACGTAAACTTATCGGCTGTTGCCATGGCAACCAACAGACAAATAGCAAATTTGAATTCAGACACGCCGTACCACAGTGGCACACTCAAGCAGCAGCCATACGTCACTCTCTACACCAGAAGGATGCCGCAAGTGCAAAATCACACCACGAGAAGAACAAACTACACACACTCACACCCATACACACACACACACACACACACACACCAACCACACACACACACACCACCACACACACACACACCACCACACACACACACACCACACCAACCACACACACACACACACA